GAGCCAGGTCTTCTTGTGTACTATGTGTGCCTGAGCTGACCCACAATGGGCTTCCCCAGCCTGAGAAAATATTGCCTGAGAGCCCCTTCCTCACTCTGTCTTCTGCCCTACCCTTTGCATAGGCCTCTTCCACCCATGGCCTCCACATCTCCCTGTGCGCCAGGGAGGGAGGACAGCGCTGTTCTGCAGTGTCTGGGCAGCGATGCGGGGGCGGGGGTGAGGATGGCCTCTGGGCTGCAAGGCAGTGATTCAGCACCTGGGCTCTGTAAAATGCTCAAGTCCTATACCCCGTGGAACCTGCCTCAAGAAGTCACCAGACAGGGGAGCTTTGTGTCCTGTGGGTTCTCTGCACACAGTGTCATAGGTGCTGGGGCCCAGGCAGTCTGAGGTCCAATAATAGATATGGTGAGTGATGAGGGGAGGATAAGGTGAGGCCTGAGTGAGCAGCCTGCACTACCAGCTACAAGCTTCAGTGAGGGGCGGGCAGGGCAAATGGTCTCCTGTGTGACTTTGACCCCTCTGTGGAAGCCAGGCCGGTAGAATGGGCTGCCCCACTCCCACACGGCTTAGCCTCCCTCCCTGTGAGGCCTTCTCACGTAGGGTCACCACTCCTGCCCAGTCTTTCACCAGGCTGTTGAGAGTCTCTAGTGAGGCCCAGGCAGGTAAGGGTCCCAGAAGAGGTAAGGGCCTTCCCATGGCCTTAGCCTGAGCACTGCAGGGGTCTGGCTGCCATGTTCCAGCTACATGAAAAAAAAAAAAAAAGATTCGACCAGAAAGGTGCAGCTCTGGGTCCTATCTGGAGCCCCTCAGGTCTGGTGAAGCTGAAAGCCCACAGCCTTCAGCCACTTCCTCTCCTGGTTCCCCCCGCTCTGCCAGTTTTTCTCCTCAGTCCCTAGACTTCCCAAATTCCAGCAAACAAGAAGCAGATCAGCTTGAGGTGGTCATCAGCTGGACAATGGCACTGGGGTCACCTGGAAGACCTGGGCTGGCTTCAGCCCACATTGGTGATTTTTTAACTTGCTTATCCTTCCAGCTCCCTGGGGTGGCTTGCTGGGTTACTATGGACATCTGATTTCCCCCAGAAAAGCTGGTTCAGTGAGTGACACAGCCAACCTTGCTCATCTCTCACCCTTGGCTGGATGGCTACTCCACAGCAGCCCCACTGGGGCCAGAGCTGCCTCCTGAGCTGGGACCTCACCCACTGGAGCAATCACCCTCCTCTCCTCCAGCAGCTACAGCCAAACAGGACTGTCCGCATGCCCCAAGTCTACCACAGCTCCCTGTCCCCAGCGTCCGTGCTTCCTGCAGAGGGTTCACCTTGAAAACCAGCCTTAGGGCAGAGAGCAATTCTGGGGTTCTCGTATGCTGAAGGGCAGGCGCCTGGACCAGCAATGATGTCAGCCGCCTGGGAGTACCAAGTCACTCCTAAGGCTGTCATCTCTCCCTTGCTTTGCCTATTCTGGGTGAGGGCTACACCCTCCACTTTACAGATGCTCCCTGAGTGAGGGGGCAGACTCTGGAGAACAAGTAATGCTTGTGGTTGTGACCCTGCAAGTCAAATTGGAATCTCAGAGCAACTCCAACTTAATTGGGTGTTCTGCACTTTATTGGTTACCTGTCTGGCCTTGATGAACAGGTGACAGGGACCTGGCACAGCTGGGAGTGAGGACTCAGGCTTGTCCAGCATGGATGAGATTCGTTGCTCCATCTTAGAGCCTAGGCTTCCCATACCAGTGTGGACACTTGCTTCCCCAGGATAGGTGTCTGTGTCAAAGGACTTCTAGGCTCTACATGGCAGAGGCTATGTCAGGCACTGTCAGAGCATGGTGGTGGCCAGGAGCACATTTTGTGTGGCCTGCTCAATTCTTAGTCAAGGACTTCAAGCCCAGACAGAGAGGTGACTCACCTGGGCCACATGGAGACGGACCCCTGAGCACATGTGTCCTTCAGACCTGTATTTCTGCATCCACACCTGAGCCAGAGCAGCAAGAGGTGCTGGGCACCTGTCAGACCACAATGTCCTAGAGAGAAAGGTCACTGCCCACCCTGTGTTCTTCCCAGGGTCTCCACAGATGTCAGTGGCTCGTGTGGACTTCAGTGGTCTTTCTTAAGGGACTAACTGGCATCTGTCTTCATATATGCTCACATCTTGGTCATTTGTGGAGGCTGACACAGACCTGCCTGGTGGAGAATTGGTAACAGTGGCCTGGACAGGTGGGCTGGGAAATCAATGTTGCCATGCAGGGTTGGTGGAGGGGACGTGAGTGCAGGGCCCATGTGACAGCACACAGAGGTCCAGGCATGTGGTGGTGCCCATGGGAGCTGGCTGGAAAATGGCCACTCTAGTGTCTAGAGCTTGTTCACAGCATCTAACCAGGCAAGAGTGAGGCCTGTGATTGGATTGGGAGCTGGGACATGAGATTACTGGAATTGTTCAGTGGCCCTGGGTGCCATCTTGACTGTCCCTGTAAGAGACAGGCAGAAGACACATGCACAAAGGGAGGAACTCCTGAGGATGTTGACAGAAATGGAGTGACACTATCCAGAGCTGGAGGAAGCTCAATCACTGACACCTTGACCTTCTGGCCTCTGAGCTGTGGAGGTCATGTCTGCTGTGGTGAGCTGCCCATCTGTGGTGATCTGATGGCAGCCCAGGGAACCTGCATACCAGCTCCAAGCAATAACCCTCCCCTCCCTGCCCCGGTCTGTCATCACCAGGCAATGTGCAAAATGTACTTCCCTGAGAACCATTTCACAGACTCTGTTAAGGCTGGAGTGTTCCCTCCTCACCCAGTCTTTCTGAGTGCATCTGGGAATTCTTGAAATACGGGATCCTTGTGCTTGTCCATGAGTGATCCTGAGAAGTTAAACTTATACAAATACATGTGTTAGTGGCTAGTCCTTGTTACCAAGACCTCATGGAGCTCACTGGATTCACTGGCTGTACTGACCACTCTGGCCTCATCATCCCTGTCCCCCTATTTGACATACCACCCCTCCTGGGGTTTGCAGGATGGCAGCCCTGGGTGGCCCTTAGGCTTCTGAAGTACATGGTTACTTGATGACCAAAATCTGGCCAGGTCAGATGCTATATCCCGGTGGCCAGCAACCCCACCTTGTTCCCTCTCTGCTGGTCTTTCTGTTCCATCCTTGTAGGTCAAGACAGAGCCCAAGTCCAGCTTCCTATTTGTCCACCATTTCCAGTGTTGTCCACTCTATGTGCAGGCAGTCAGCTCAGATCCGGGACACAGTGAGACTGACCCTGTCCCAGCCACAGGGAGCTCACAGGGGCATTTACCACCCACCGGAGGGGCCAAGGGAAGGACAGGCCTGTTGGAGAGTCTGACTTGAGCTGAGGTCTGGGGAACACTGGGGCCTGCCAGGTCACTGGAAGGGAGATGATGCCAGATGGGGCAGCCTGGCACATGGGAAGCTGAGGTAGCCTCCTTCTTTGGGATGCAGAGCCTGGGGGCTTTGGGTAAACAGGGATGACTGGGTCTTCTGGGTGGATTTGGAAGACTGCCATGAGATCAAGTGGGTCTGGGGAAGCTGGAGACGCCCATCGAAGCCCAGGCTCTGATCAGGACAGGATCTTGTTGCCCAAGTCCCACTGCCAAGACTGAGGATCAGGACTGGGCTGTCCAGAACTGTAGAACCCTGGTGCTTTGCGGTAGGGCCTAACTCCCACAGTGCTATGGACCATGACAAGGGCAGCATGTGGGATTCAGAAGTGGCCAGGGCCCTGGAACCTGAGCAGCTGCACTGGGGGAGGTACAGAGTGCTCTGAGCAGCCCTGCACATGGCCAGGTTGGGTCTGACAAGGAAACCTGTCCTTGCTTCTGGAGGCTAGGGAGTAGAACCCTGCTCTCTTGGGCCTGCACCCCTCAGGTTTTCAACAGCAGGAAGTAAGTGCTCTCTCCCCAATCTGGTAGCTTGATTCGGCGTAGCTCTCGAGGTCTGAGGCCAGGCATGGGTGTCTGCAGAGTGGTTTCCCTGTGATGCTTGTGTGGGGCCATCTTCCTGTAGACTGTTTGCAGACACATTAGTGGCTGAGCTCCCTCTGCACACAGCCACTACTGGAGGCCAAAGGTTGGAGGGGGTGGCTCCCTTCTGCTGGTTGGGACTTGCACAGCACTGAGCAGGGAGGCGGTGGTGGGCAGAGCCTGGCAGGTGCAGAGGGGCCTGTAGGGCATGCTTTCCAGCTGGCAAAGCAGAAACAGGAGGCCACTTTCCCCGGAACTTGACGGCTCCAGCTCCCAGGCCAGGTGGGTGCCAGCTTTTCTCAGGTAGGAGGTTAGAGGGCAAGGTGGGCATTCCAAGGGTCCCAGGCTGACCAGCTTATCTAGATGACAGGTGGGGGAAGGGAGGATTTCTAGCTGTTTGAGGCCACTCCCTTTCAGGCAGGGTAAAAGGGCGCAGGGGAACACAGGTGTCCGTGGAGACGCTGTCTGGGCTGAGGCTTATTGCTTTCCAAACAGTTTTAGTGAGGCCACAGCCCCACAAAGGGGTCTGGGCAGCCATTGTGCCTCTTATCTGAACCATGGGGCTCCCATGTTCCCCCTAGCCTGGCAGGGAGGCTGGGGCAGGGGAGAGACCCTGCCACCTGCCTATTGGCTTCTCCAACGACATTCTGAGCCTGACCATGACATGCTGCTGTGTTTTGGGCCTGAGATTCAGGGCCTAATCTGGTGGGAGGGAGAAGGAAGAAAGGAGAGTGGTAACCAGGCCTGGCCTCCACCTCCCTGGACAGCCTCCTGGGACATTCCTAATTGCTGGTAGCTGACTCACCCCTACTTCAAAGGCCTTGGCCCTGGTTCAGCTATTTAACCTGCTACACGGAGCCTGTCACTCTGGAATTCTGCTCATGGGGAACTAAGCCCACCTTCAGACCTTCTCCTCACTTGGGCAGGCACCTCCTGCTCCTCCCAGCCAGTCCACACCAGCCTGCAGAGTGGTCCCCAAGGGCCACTGGCCCTTGCCTTCTGCCACCCGCAACAGAGATGTCTGCTACCTATCCCCTGGCCCCAGCCATGGCTGAGCAGGTGTCTCTGTGGCACCACTACCTGCTGGCCATCCAGTCAAGGGAGGCACATCGTGCCCAGGACTACCAATGTGCTGAGAACGTGCTGCTTACTGTGCTCGAGCGTGTGCACGCCCTGGACCCCCGCTTCATTGTGGACTACTCTCGCGACCTGGAGACTTTCCAGTTTGCCCTGCGTTCTTCAGAGGACCCACTGGACCTGGAGGTGCCCTTGTGGGTGGATGCTGAAGCTCTCCTGATTGAAGAGATGGATGCCACCAAGCCAGGGGACAGCCCTGCACTCTGCCATCTGGGCATCCCCAGGGATGCAGCTGGCCTGGAGCTGTGGATGACTGACGACGTCTTCACTGCTGCCTCGGAGAGCAATGCCAAGTGCTGTGGTCACATTGTGCCCAGCAAGGTCCTGCATGTCCTCAAGGACCTTCTGGTGGCAGCCATTGTGCACTGCAAACACCATGGCCTCATCCCACCAGGTAGCCATAAGGTCACTCTGCATCCCTGTCTGTGTGTGCACATGAGTGTGATGCTTGTGGGTGTGCACACTGTGTGGTTGTGTGCTCAGAGGCGTACCTGCCCACTGTGTGTGTGTGTGTGTGTGTGTGCACGTGTGTGGTCATTGCGTCTGAAGACACAGGGCGTGACTGGCCCCTGGGGACTGTGTATGATGTAATCTGAGGGGTCTGAGCCCCTGGTGTGTAGGGTTTCTGCAGGGCCAGAAGCAGCAGGTTTCCTTCAGGAGACAGTGGCTAGAAGGACAGGCACAGACTGTGAGGCCAGGACAGTGGGGACACAGTGAGGAAGCCCATCCTCCTAGGAGTCAGGATGAGGATGTCAGGCTGTCCTGCCACAGCACTAGGGAACTGAAACCATATTTTGCTTTCTTGGGAGAGGATGGGCATGTGACAGTGACAGCTGCCACTTCCTCTCGTGGATTTGTTGTCTCAAGTCACGTCCTTGGTTTTCTTCTATCCATCGTGTGCACCAATGAGGTCAGGAAGTAGGTGACCACAGAGGGAGCCCTGGCCTAACTGCACCTCCAGGGTCCTTTGCCACCTGGGCTGGCGGTATCACCCTTTCTTCTGGGGCTCCTAGGGGTTCTGGGGAAAGGGTACCCATCAGAATCCATTGGCCCACCAGATAGGTGTCCTGGGGCAGGCGACTTACCTCTCAGGTGGCGGGAGACTGTCATTAGCTGTCTGGTTAGTGTCTGGTGCTCCTCCAACCTTTTGGGCATCTTATCTGGTCATCTCCTGAAACTTCTAATTACTGTAGGTGGCTTGGCAGGACTATTTCTGTCTTCTGGCCTGGCCTAACATGCGTGTTCCTTCTTGGCCCTGTCACCTGTAGGGCCTACCCCTCCCAGGGGACAGACCCACCTATTGGGATGAACAAAGTCTCTGCCAGGCTCTGGGCCATGGGGGAAAATCTAAGCCACCAGGCCCTTCTTCACATATTCAAGTTGCTTTCTGACTGAGATAGCAAACACCAGGCCCCTGTGCCCAACCCATACTCCCTCTGGTCCAGCTGCTGTGGCTGAGCTGGGCCTGTGAAAAGTTCCAGGCATTGCTTCCGACACTTACCTTAAAAGGGAAGCAAGAAGCTGAGCTGACAGAGTTCAGTGCCCCCATCTTGGAACCGGTGAGACCAGCCGGGGCTGTGGTGGCCCAACAAGCACAGGTGTGGTTGGCCACCTTCCAAGCTGCCATTTCATAGACAAAATGTGTGACCAACGGAAGAAAGGAGATAAAGCCACCAGGTGGCTGTGGATGACAGCACCTCAAGTGATGAGCTGAGAGGGCCCTGGGATCACTTATTTCCATTCACTGATGGGGAAACTGAGGTCCCTGTGGATGGAGTATCCTAGGGGGTGGCCTAAGAGCTGCCTTCAAGAGATGTGGGCGCTGAGGGGTCCACAGGAGGAAGCCCAGGTTACTTCCTGAAGGATCCTCAGGGCTGGCAGTGGTGGGAACACTGCCCCACTCTCACTCACAGTGGCAGCCTTTCTCCAAGGCTTGTGTTGGGGATTTCTTTCAGGCACACCCTGCTCCCAGTGGGTTGGTCATCCTGACCTCAGGCCCAGGGCCCTTGTTCAGACCTAGGGAAAGGCTGGGGAGGGGAGACTACTCCTTCCCCACCTGTGTGGGCAGAGCCAGTGGTGTGGGTGTCTCTGGTGCCCAGGAAAACCTCACCTCTCTCACTCTGGTAGATTTATTCTGGGGAAAGAAGGACACTGAGGCAGAAGGCCAGAGGGCTCCTAGGGACACCAGCTCCCCACCCACTACCCCCAAAATGACCCCCTGGGTGGTCTGGGGACTCGTGGGTGTTAGGTTGAGTCCTTGGTGGTTCCTGCTTGGGAGAGGAGCGGTAAGTCTTTCAGCCAGTATGTATTATCAATGGGGTGACAGTGGTGGCAGATTCTAGAGCAAAGACTGGAGTTTGAGAAAGTCACCTGGAACGGCCAGGCTTGTCCACAGTCTGCCTGATGGGCCAGGGAAGCCTAGAAACAGAGTCACCCAAGCCATGCCTCCTTCCAGACCACCAAGGCCTTTCCTGGACCTGGGTCCTGGCCTGGCCTGGCCTTTGCTGTGCAGTCCTTTCCATGTAGTACGAGGATCAGTATGCAGCGTGGGATAGCCCTAGAGCTGAGTCTAGGGATGGGGGAAGGAGGTACAAATTGTAATCAGGAGAGATTCCACCTGTGTTGGGCCCTTGCCAGCACTGGGCTCCCCTAGACGAGGGCTGGGCTGTCATGTCCATCTGTCCTTCCTGGCCACAGGAAGGGGAATGTGATCCTCCAGGCACTGCAGAAGGCTCAGCAGCCCAAGGCTGTCCTCTGCAGATTCCATCAGTATCTGGGAAGTGCCCAGGCCCAGGGGAGGAAAGCAGGCACCCTAAGAGCACCCCACGGCTTTTCTTGAAGACTGAGGAGACACTGGGGAGATGCTTAGGCAGCGTGCAGAAGTCGTCAGAGTGAAGATGAGCCCATTCCTGATGGTTCTGCAACGACAGCTACAGGCTCCGAGCCACACAGTGGGTGGAGAGGACTAGAGGAAGTCCAGTAACACCCCTTTGTAGAGTCCCAGTTTCAAATGTGCCGAGTTGCACTTGGTCTTGGGTACTGCTTCTTGGGGTCTGAGCTCACTCCTGAACCCAGCCTGGACAGTGAATGGGTCTGAGCATCTGCCTGGCAGAGGAAGCTCATGAAGAAGCCATTAGTATCACTGTGCAGCAGGCAGGGCCATCTGGCCATCTGATCGCTCGGCCACAGCTCCTGCATGGGCAGAGGTGCAACAGCCTGCAGGTGTGAGGACAGGGCAGTGAGGGTGGCAGGTGGAGCATCCTGGGCAGAGGTGGGGCCCTCCAGAAGGGCACAGCTGGACTGACTGCAGGTCTCTGTAGGTTCGCTGAATGCAGACAGCCTAAAGGAGGGGCAGCTCCACCTGTCCTTGATCGTGTTCAGTGGTTGGAGAAAGATCTGCTTCAACGTTGTGCCCGTGGTGAGGAGGAAGCACAGAGTGCCAGCCCTGGATGGGGCCCAGTTGACACCCGGATTCCCTGAAGGCACCTTGAGAAGGATTGCCAGCCATGGGGTGGACCTGGTGCCTGCCAGCACCCAACACTGGAGGTAGATGCCCCTGCTGGGTCTTTGGGGTCCTGGGGAGGTGGCAGGAAGGAGGCTGCCATCTGGTGCTCTCCTCACTCCAGGCAGAAGGATCTGCAGTGTCTGCTGCCTGCCTCTGTGCTGTGGGCATCTGTGTCCTGCTGAGGTCACTGGGGTCTCAGGGAATTAAGGACCTGCAGGGCTTCCTTACAGCAGGATGCCGAGTGACCCACTGGGAGCTCAGGGAGGGCACAGCTTGTTCTCTCCCAAGTAGGGAGGTAACCAATCTGGCTAAGATGAGCGAGCCAGTGTGGAAATCTGCGTGGAACTCTGACTTAGCTTGCTGCCTTTGCTCCGGGTCGTCCGCAGCAGAGAGGACATGTCCAGGCTATCGTAGCTCCCAGGTGATGAGGATGGTCAGACCAGTGAAGCTAGCACTGCGGCTTGCTAGTAATTTCCATCTGGATTACCATTCGAAGGCTACAGTGCCCTACCCGTGAGGTTCCCCAACTGGGGCTGCACAGCTACAGATGCTCCCCACCCACTGGCCCTGCTCGCCCTGGCTGCCAGCAGCCTCTCCTTGGGTCCCCAGCTTCTGTCTCCAAGAGCCTGTGAGCTTGATGAGAATCTCTACATCTGTGTCAGTGTCTGTGAGAGGGAGGGAAGGAGGGAAGAGAGGCTGAGCCTCTTTGAGACCCAAGCCAAGGGCTGGACACTGAGTGCCTTGAGATCTGACACCTCAGGCCGTACCCTACACGCACGGTGTTAGAGATCTGTCCTGGATGATTTACCCAGCTCACTCATGTGGCCTGCTGGTGCCCCTCTGAAGCCTCAGCAGAGCCCCTGTGGGCACCTCCACCCCACATCCCAGCTGATCCCTCACACACAGCTGCATCCAGACTTGCTGAGTGACCAGCTGCCCACAAAGGAAGGCAAAGGGCTGGGCTGAGCAGTCATTGCAGGCAAGCAGATGAGAAAATGGCCTGTTCCCTGCCATACCTTATGCTCTAAAGACCTGCTGTGGGAGCTGGTGACTGAGCAAGGCTGAGTCTCCATGTGGAGTGGGGGGGTTCTATCCTTTTGGTTGGTTCAGCAAGCACAAATTGAGGCCCTCCGGTGGAGGAGGATCAGGAAGGGGATCCTGAGCCTGTGGGATGTACCCTGGCTGCCTGTGGGGGAGTGCTTGGGTTTGCTGAGTGGATGCTGGGTGGACCCTACACCTCCTGCCAGGCTAGGACTCCACTGAACAGGTGCTGCTGCCCAACCTGGGCAGGTCTGAAAGACACTTTCCTGACTATGCAGAAGGTAGTGGACCTGGGGGTGCAGGTTCCCTGCATGCCTCTGTATCCTGGCCTAGCTCTCTATGCTGAACAGCTCTGAGTTAGAAATGGGACAAGGTGAGGCCTTTCATGGCCACTATCAGGGCATGATATCTTCCATGGGGCTCAGGGGCTCTGATATTGGGGAGCAACAGGAGTTAAGGCTTTTCTTTATGGCAATAAACTGGGTGCCTGGCACCAAGAGGATCCCAAGCCTGACTGGGTGGGTCTTGCTTTCAGGATTTCCACTAGCTACTTGCTCACACGGCTGCTTGGTGTGCTGGGCTCACTCCAGGGCCACCGCCTGGACAGCCTCTCCATCCTGGACCGGGTGAACCTTGAGAAATGGCGAGGTGGTGGCCAGATCTCCGGCCTGACCTTTGACCACCTGAAGGTATGTGTGTGGGAGCATTCGGGCACCCACTTCTACTCTGCTTTGTCTGCCTGAGTCTGGGACCAGATGGCAAAGGGAAGGGTACCACCCTCCCAGCAGCTCCACAGGTGTCAGGAGGATTCTGGGTTCTGAGGAAGTGAGGTAGTGATGTTTGGCAGGTGTGACTGAAGGAAGCTGTGGCACACTGGGCTGGCCTTTGCTGTTCCTGGGCCAGTGACCTCAGAGGCTCTGTCAGCCCTGCAACACTGTTGGGTCAAACCTTGGGTTTGTGAACATTCCATCCCTGGAGTGGATCCTGTCCCCAGGGCCTGTAGGAGCATGGAGTCCCTTCCCACTGCTCCCTGGGTGCTGGATGCTCTGTCAGAATTATGTCTCACAAGGGCCTTGTGACTGCCCAGCACTGAGAAGAATAAGGAAGGGCAGGGCCACCCCCCAAACACACACACACACACACACACACACACACACACACACACACAAGGCAGTGAGGGGAAGCAGGTGGGGCTGTGTAGTCTTGGGGTCCCTACCAGGCCAGCCCCTCCCTGGAGCTCCCTAGATTGAGACAGCACTCCCCTTGGCTCAGGTGTTGAAGAACAGGTGGGCTGACCTTTCATCAGGCAATCGCTCTGCTGAGTCCCCTGTGAGAACTCAGGCTGCTCGCTGCTCTCTTAGACCTGTACCTGAGGCCAGCTTCCAATGGTTGCTTGGGGTCTGGTCCCCAAACAGCTGAGAGGTGCTGGGGGCTGGTGGAAAGAGGGGGGCCTGAGGATTCAGAAATGTAGCTCAGAGACAGGGGAGGGGCTTGAGCAGCATCTTCAGGGCAGGATGGAGGAGAGGGGGAGCCCCAGTTCCCTTGGGTTGGGCTGCAGAGTTTGAGCAGGAGCTCAATGGAGGGGCAAGAGGAGAAGAAAGAAGGGGCCTCTACTGGCTATGGAGGAACAGAGAAGCTGATGGGAGCAGGCTGGGTACCAGGCAGGTGGGTGGCCTAGTGAGAAGGACTGGGATGGGGGATTGGCCCAGTGCAGCCCACAGTCAGACCTGACCTGCTGTCCCACAGACGGTGCTGTTGTGGGCCTCGGTGCTCTTCCCAGCCCCAGAAGACTGGGTGGAGCTGCAGGGCTCTGTGTATCGCTTATTGGTGGTGCTGCTCTGCTGCCTGGCCACCAGGAACCTGCCCCACTTCCTCCACCCTGGATGCAACCTGCTTCAGGGCGACAGCCTGAACCTCAATGCCATCTACCAGCACGTGGAGAGCTTCGCCAGCCAGCCCGAGGCATCTCTGCGCATCCATGTCACCCACCTGGGCCGCGGCCTCCCACCACGCATTGACAATGGGGTCAAGGCACTCCTGCAGCTGCCTGCAGATGACCCTGCCTACTGGACCACTGCCTACTTCGATGTCCTGCTGGACAAGGTGGGTGCAGCTGGCTGCAGCCTCAGGCCCAGTGTCACAGGAGTGAGGGGACAGAGCTCTGGTCTAGCACCCTGGCCACTCCCTGCCGGGTCAGGAGCCTGAGGTCAGTTGGGGTGAGGTCAATCCTCTGGATAGAGTGGGGGAAATATGTGATGACTGGGGGTCCTCTTGAGTGTCCCCTTCAGTGGCCCCACAGGCCCAGGCTGTTCTTTGGGGACTGAGACTGTCCCCAGTTCCCACAGAATCACCCTCACTCCCACAGCTGGCAGACACTTAGGACCCTTCCCCCTTCCCTGGGCCTCTTCCTCATGAAGGGTGCCGCCTTCCCTAGGCCTCAGGGATTCATTTCCTGCATAGTCTTGCACCTGGGAATACTGTGGCCATACCCTGGGGACCTTGTATCCTCTGGCCTGCTGTTTAGGGTGCCTGGGTGCTATGCAGGCTGCCCCTCCCACTCTCATAAAGCCCACTCCTGCTACTCCTGCAAAGGCTGCCCCTCGCTCTTACACCAGGAGAACATTCCCTTCTGGGGCACATCTGACATGTCGTCTTGGCCAACCTGTGCCAGCAGCAGTGAGGCCTGGCGTGGCCAGATGGTGTTGCTGGTCTTCTCCATCCTGTTTTAGCAAACTCCCCCTTTAGGAATTGTGACTCTGTCTGCAGGGACGGGGTAGGCCTGCTCCAGGCTCTCGACAGTCCTGTGTGCTCTGGGTGGGGGGTGGGGCACTTAGTGGGGTCCTCCTTCATGTCAGGCCTGTGCCAGAGACACCTATGTGTGATGAAGGACCATCAAAGGGAGGTCACTGTGGTCGGTCCACCTATGGGGATGACCATCCAGGTGGAGACTCAGTGACAAGAAGCCCAGTGGTCAGGGGGGCGCTGTGTGCTGGGTGTGGCCTGGTGCCTCTGTGACCCTCTCTTTGGCTTGTCTCAGTTCCAGGTCTTCAACATCCAGGATGAGGATCGTATCTTGGCTATGCAGAGCGTCTTTGGGAAGACCAAGGCTCTGGGCAGTGAAGAGAGCTGAGCTGGACCGCCTGGTCTCTGCCACCCCATAGGAGGCTTCTGGGACATTTGGAGAAGGGGTGGGCTTTTCTTTGAGGTAGGTGATGGAAGGACTTTGTTCCCAAGGACCCTTGTCCAGGGAACAGCTCTTAGTGACTGACAGTGCTGCCAGTACTGGCCTCCAGGAAGCTGCTGTGTCTCTGGGCTGAGGGCCTGGGGTAGAGGTGCATGTGCCTCATGGACATCTGTGGATCCATCCTGTCTGATGCTGTCAGCAAAGCTGAGATTGTAGGAGATGGAGCCTGAGAGTGTGGCCCTACCTGTGCTGTATGCCCTCCTTGATGATGAAATGCTGTGTACCTGGCCTTGAATTAATACCCAATTACACAGTGGAGAGGGTCCCCACTTTCTGTACGTCTAAGTGGAAATATAGAAACCTAGAAGCAGAAGAGACTTGTGTGCAAGGAACAATTCAAACCCTCCCATTCTCTGTGAGTGAACCCTGCCCAAGTGTCCCCACCTCCTGGTTCAGAGGGGACTGAAGTTCAGTGGAGGGCCTCCCAGCTCCTGCTGCCAGCCCATGAGCCCACCTGCTTCCCGTGACTCTGTGGAAGGCCAGGGGTCTTCTCTCCTGGTGACTGATGCCTCTCCCCCATTCCCACTGCCCTACTCCCCACTCACAACCTGTCATCAGCCCACTGCAGCCACCCGCTGCCAGGGTCCTTCATATACCCCAGTCAGCAGGCATTTTCTATTTCCCACTGTCTTTGGGCACTAGGTGGCATCAACTCTGGCTTCTGAGCTGTGGGTGGCACCCAGGGATCTGGGAAGGGAGCAGCTCCAGCCTCTTCCAAAGTCTGATGGCATGTGCCAGAGTAACTACACAAGGAAAGGTAGTGCTTGGGGCCACTGAAGGATGTGGGATCAGAGTCTGAGCTGGCACCGACACAAGGGAACATGGAATCACATCACAATTTCCCCCCATGAGAGAGGGAGCTTTGTCCATATCTGATTCATCATGGACTCAGGCCCACCCTGGTCATTTTCTTGGTGTTGAGTGTGACTCAAGATAACCATACTTACCAGAAATGAGAGTTGTGATAGAAGGAAAGGCCACGGGAACATTTACAAACCATCCCTACTGCACAGCCAAAATAACTCAGGGCATAAACACATCTTATCAGAGCATAGTAGCAGAATGCAATGTCCCCTTCAACGTCTAGCTCAGTAGGATGGCCCTGGTAGGAATAAGGTGGATCATGGTGAGGGACGGGGGATTACACAAGCCTAGCCACGTGGTCGCCTGAAACCCAGGCACTGTGCTAGACACATGGTCTGCAGTGGAACATGGGGACAGGGCTCCTGGAACTCGCTCCCTGCAGACTGACCCAGGACACAGTCTTAACTGTCCCATTAGAGGGGAGGACCAGAAATAGTTTGCATCCACCCAGAAGAAGACAGGGCCATGTCAACCCTCCCTCTTGGGGCACAAGGCAGGCCTGGGGGTCGTCCTCATCTGGATGTATTAGCAGTGTCAGGCTGGTTTACCATGTTGATGGCACGGTGCTAACTAGAGCCAGGAGTGTTGACTGGCAAGTTCTTTGATGCCTTGTGAGATGAACTCCTTCCACAGGAGGAGAAAAGCCTTACAGAGTTTCAACAGATGCCCTATAGATGCTGCTTTTAGAGGCTCAGAGGTCTGGGGCAGACTGAGGCCTTGCCCACCAGTCACAAAGAACAAAGATGGTGCTTGGTGGCCTCACTGGATCTTGGAGACTGCACACACCTGGGAACATCTGTCAATTGAGAGACTGTGGTGGCCGTTGGTTCTGAACAGGGCCAGAGGTGAAAATCCAAATAACATGAGCAAAAATTTGAACTGGCACTTCTCAAAAGAAAGTATACATCATTAATCACCAGGGAAATGCAAATTAGATGCAATTTCACACTTGCTAGAACAAAAGAAAACATTGATGTAGGGCACCCATAACTCTCATGTGTGGTGTCTTGTAAGGTCAAGCCAACCTAATGACCCCCAAACTCCACCCCTCATTATTACCCAACAAAAACAAAAATACATAGTCATGCAAAGACTTGCATCGAAAGTTCTTTACAACTTTTATAATGGCCTCAAACTGGAAATAACTCAGATGTCCATCACCCATAGGTAAAGGAACAGATTGTAATGTCCTCACAGGAAGCGGTCATGTCAGGAACAAGGACAGACAAACAGACAGAGTGTATGAAGGTCTGAGAAGCCTGGAGACATAAAGATGCAGCACAGAACATGTTTGTGTCCACTGATACCACAATGCTGACCTGAAGGGTGTAAATCCCACAGAGGGATTTGAGCCAGGGGACTTCCCCTGGGTGATTCCCCTCCAGACAAACCACTTGTACTTGAATTCTGGTCTCAGTGTCTGCTTTTGGGGAAACCAAATCCAGACTGTGCTGATCTCTGGATAAAGGCCGGACTCAATGTGGCCACATGGCCCTGCGTGTTCTGGCCCCCTGTTTTCCAGGCTCCTCTCTGAGAGCCTTCTCCCTGCTCCTGTGTTCTCCATCTGGCATAGATCACAGCTCTGCTGTGATCATGTCTGTGTGACATTCAGGTCTGTCTCTTCTGGTCACTGTGAGTCCACGAGGCAGCAGCCTCTGTCAGCCAGGGATAGGGACAAAGCCTGTCCCCCCTGCCTTAGTGCTGTGTGCCACCTTGACAAGAAGGAGACTCTGCCTGGCCTTCTTCCTGGGGTTCTTAGAGGCAGGATCTAGAAGTGCAGCTGTGGCTGTGGCTGCCCTGTGCACAACCTGGTGCTGTGTAGATCAAGAGACCAGCCTGGTGGAAAGCTTCCCAGAGGAGAGGTGGGGATCAAAGGCCTCAGAGACCCAGCAGAGGGTGAACTGGGGGCTAGAGGCCACCTCAGCTGCATACTTAAGGGCCATGTGGGTAGCTGCAAAGCAGACACGAAGACCAGAATTCAAGTACAAGTGTAGGCTGCAGGGCTAAGGGTGTAGGCCTTGGTCTTGTTCGTGTGCTCATGCGTGTTCTTGTCTGTATGAATGGGACTTCCTGTGGGTTCAACTACAGGTTGCATGTGAGGATGTTTCTTGGGGTGCAACATTTGGGAACAGTCCCAGGGAAGGATCTGCTCACAGGCTCCAGGATGAGGAGTGCCCCTTGAAGGGCCAAACTTGGGCAGTGCAAGCAGCAGAAGTCTCTCTGTTGAGACTCTGCTCCAGCTGGCCTCACACAGTGAGAGGAGAAGTCTGGCCAGTGATTCACTGAATTTTCTCAGAGGCCAGTGGCCTGCAGGGACTTTGGCTCCTTTGGAAGGCACTGTGGATCCTGTTTCTAGGAGGTCCCACATGTGAGGCTGGGGAAGCTACCCTACCCTGTCCCCTGCTTGCCTTGTCTGGTGGGGCCCCCAGCTTTCCTGTCACCAGGTCCAGTGATCTTGTACCAGTCTGTTGGCTCCTGCTGCATCCCCAACCCTTCAGTAGAATGTGTGTGGTGGGTGGATGGTGGTCACAGCTTGTTCTGGGGACAGTGCTGCAGAGCCTGTCTCAGGGCCTCTATCAGGCGGTCCACATTCTCTCGGGTGGCATTGCAGCCCAGAAGACCAATCCGCAGCACCTGGTGGGCATAAGCCAGGCCAGATGTCAGCCTCTGTCTAAGGCCCCCAGACCTGACTGAGGGCTGATCAGAGCCAGGATGGGCTCACCCCTCAGCATGCAGGAAGGAAGCCAAGAGCTTTGTCCAGGCTACACAGGGGCTGGACACACAGAGCTAGAGAAGAGAGTCCAGGGAGCGGTCAGAGAAGGCCACTTAGCATAGCTGACTCTGCAGAGTCAGCTGAACCCAGTCCAGGGTTTCCAGGTCCTTTCAGAGGGAAGGAGGGATATTCTGAGTAGAACTGGAAGGACCACACTGGTGGCCTCACCATGTAGGGTAGAGGGAGCTGGAGAGAACCCTGCCTGAATCCCTGCTTGCACAGGTCCCCTTTAGGGGAAGTTTGTTCCTTTTGGGATGGCCCTGCTGTCCTGCCCTGCCCCACCCCAGAACTGACACAGATTGGGTGCTCAGCAGTGCTCAGTGTGGTGGTGAGTCTTCTAGTGTCTCAGCATCAGTGCCCTGGCCCAGGAGACTCACCTTCCCCAGAGTGGGCCCAAGGCCACCCGTGACCTCGATGCTGAAGTGATCTAGCAAGTAGTTGGTGATGTCTCTCCAGTTGTAGCCAGGAGGCACAGTCACAGTCGTGATTGTCGGCAGCCGGATTGCCTGCAGGAAGTGGCAGGCTCAGCCACATGGGCCAGGTGCCCTAAGTGCCTGTCACAACAGTTCTTGCCCAAGACATCTGCCTGGGCTGCCTGGGCTGCACTAATTTCAAGCTCCAGAGAAGGGGCTGGAGGACAGCAGGTGTCATCCTACCAGTAGCTGCCTGCAGGAGTCCTAAGGCAGAGCATCATAGACACCTGGAGACTCCCAGCAGCCTGAGTCTCTCCCTGGGCAGGTTGCATGCACCTTGGGGGAGGCCCAGTTTCCACTCGGACCGCCAGCTTTGTCTCACCAGTCCTTACCCCCGCACTGGGCTCCAGGGAGCCTGACTCACTCAGCTGATTCCCTAACCCCTGGGCCTCCTTACCGGGTCCTTCACAAAAAGCTTTAGGCCCAGCTCCTGCAGGCGCCCATGTAGATATGCTGCGGCCTCGCGGTGTTGCTGCCAGCAATTTTCCAGGCCCTGTGGGGAGACAGTGGGGGCACTGACTAGGCTGGGCAGGGTGGGTCCCCATCCATCTCTGAAGATGGCTGTGGTGGGGGCCACTTCAGGCTTGGGACACCACCTCCTGGAGACCCTATTTGGGGCCCAAGCAGACTCTGGACTGGGCCTGTTTGGGGCAGGTAATGGTCTGGGAGGGAGGGAGGCAGGCTGTCATGGGAGCCCAGTGGCCCCTGGGGAGGCAGGTGAGGGCGCGTTCCTCCCAAGGAAGGGGGGAGCAGCTGGCTACATGGGGTTGGCAGTCAGAACTGGGCCTCCTCTGCCTGTGAGTGGTGATTTACTGATGCTGGACCTCCCAGTGCCATGTCCCCTGACCTCCAGGAACTAGCTTCCCTATCCCTGGCCCCCAGGCCCTGTCTTTCCCATTAGCAGCTACTCTTCACTGATTACTACCACATCCTCAGCACACCATCCCCAAAGTCCCGGAGGTACGTCCCCTCTCCTGTGAACCCTCCCCTTCTCTTCTTGCCCTTCCCAGTCCAGACTCTGACGCTTTCTGCTTAGGGGCACGCACAGCCGGCCAGGGCATGGGTGACCATCAGGCTCACAGGAAGCCTTGTTTCTAACCAAGCTCTCAGGTGATGGGTTGATGAGTGACTGCGAGGGGAAACATGGTAGTCACAACCCAGGAGCCCAGAGCCTTCTTGGGCTCTGTAGCTAGCCAACAGCCCCTAGGTAATGTTAGGACCCAGAGGAAGGTGGCTGAATTTCCTCTTCTGTGTCCTGCTCAAGACCTTGGTCACACTTGACTTCCTATGTCCTGAGAGCAGATTTTTCACTGGACACAACCACCACCCTGGCCATACACAGATACCATGGCCTGGCTCCTGCTGGCCCCAGGAACAGCACATGCCTGAGTGTGCCAACACTTCCTGATTTGTGCAAGGACTGCCATGGCTGACTACTTCCCCAGGGCTTGTGTGGAAGATACCGCCTGCACAGCAGTGTGAAGAGCGGGCTCCAGGTGGTGGTGGCCAGTGCCTGACTGTGGGAGTAGTTTGTAATGAAAGCCAAGTTGGTTCTTTCTTGCTGTCTCTAGGTCTCTCTTGCTGTCTCTGTCTCTCCACCCCCCACACCATGTGCTACCTCCAGATTTGCTATGAAGAACGAAGCAACAAGGCCCTCACAAGATGGCTCCTTGAGCTTGAACCTCTTAGCCTTCAAAGCCAGGCGTCAAATTCATTTCTGTTAGTTATAAATTATTCAGTCTGTGGTATTCTGTTAGAGTGACAAGGATTACGACAAGTGCAACCAAGGACTGCATACCCAGCCCCGTGGCCTTCCCTCCTCCCACATGTCCCTTTCTCAAACCTACTCATGCTCTTCCAACTGAAGAGCTGGAAGAAGCACCTGCTCCATATCTGCATCTTCACCTGGCTCTGTCTTCCTGGCTCACCACAGATGCTGGCCCTCCCTCTGCCAGCTGCTCTCAGGCAAGGCCCCTTCTCCCTGCTACACCACAGCCTGTCATTCCTGCAGGCTAGGCCCATCTGCAAACCAACCTGACTTGCCATCTTAGGAACCTTTTTGTCCTCCTTCGCTAGCTTGAGGGATTGCAGGGAAGGTGACCTCCCAGAGGCACCCTTGTCTATAACACAGGATCTGGGAGCTGAGGGCCTGTCCCCTCACCTGCTCCACCATGAGTGCCAGGCTCTCCCTCAGGCTGTACAAGCTGACAACAGGTGTGGTATGATGGTACCTGTTAGAAAGAAAGAGGCTTGGTCCAGTGCCATGGGTAGTGATTTGGGTCAGTAACTGATGTCGCACCCCAGCAGTCCAGGCTCTCTGTCAGTGGCTAGCCCATTCCTAGGGGCACTGTCCTGTTTCAGGATCATAGGCCCAGAGCTGAAAGGGCAGCTCCTTTGGTAAGGGGGAGGGTCCAAATGGGGCCTGGCAGCTTTGCAAGGGGAGAGGCATGGAAAAAGCTGCTGCCTCTTCATGGAGGCCCCCAGTACTCCAGTTCCTGAGAAGCCAGCACTGGTCAACTTGTGCCACTAGGCTAGGGCACACACTTCCTGGTATCATTTCCCAAGTGTGATACACAGTGCTTTGGAATTGTGGCCAAGTTTGCCTTACTGAGTCCCAGGTAACTTTCTCTTACTGGGAGCGAGTGAGACTGAGGCCTGGGAATGGGAAGGTGTAGTAAGGCCCTCTTACTACACAAAGACCCCAAGACAGGATAGGCCTGTGGAAAGGGCAGTGGGGGTTCTTCTGTGACCCAGGCTTCTAGGCCAGGTGACAAATGGGGCCTGGGTTGGACAGTACTTGATGACCAGCACAGGGAGTCCTGGGACTCCCACTGGGGTATGGGGGCACAGAAGCAAGGGATGCTGAGCCTAATGCATGAGGCCAGGTGTGGGAGAGGCCACCCCCCAGCCCCGTTCCCTATCCCTGCCTGCTCTCACATCCTGGGCTTCTCGTCGCAGCCCCAGAAGTTGGCCAGCCATGTGAGGTCCATGTAGAAGGAGAAGGGCTTTGTCTTCCGAGTGTAGACCTTGTGTCTGGGCAGGAGAAACAAACCTGAGTGCCCGCCTCAGCCTTTGTGGCTGTCCTGTGTCACTGACATTAGTGGGGTGGGGCCCTAGAAGGGCCTGTCTCCTCATTTTTGCTCAGGGGACCATGTGGGCCCATGTGGGTTGAGATTTCCTCAGGCCACCCAGCCCTGCTCGGTGAGACCCTGTCATATGGGGATCCAAGTCTCCAACCACTATTAGTCTCTTCCTCTCCCCTGACCCCTCCCACATGTTGGTTCTGCCTCATTCCTCAGTTCACTTGAGGCTGAGCCCTCATTTGAGGACAGGATGTCTGCTGCATTGGCAGCTCCACCCCAAGGAATGACAGGGGAAACTGAGGGCCCAGGGTTGAGGGAGCTGGGGTTCTTGAGGCTTGGGATGGTTGGGTGAAATGAGCCCCTCAGTGGGGCTCAACACTGCACACCCTGCACACTACTTCCCTGGGTGGTCACCTCCCCTCCTCACGCTCTTCTGCTCAGCTCCTTTCCTTCCTGCTCACTCTGGCTATCCACCCTGCACCTTGCCAGGGACTTCAGTTTGCTCTCCTCTCAGATGCAGGGACACTTTAGACATCTATTCTTCAGGTGGACATGTCCAGCTGGGTGTCTCCTGAGCACCAGATGCAGACTCAGATTTTCCTGCAACTTCTCCCATAGCTTAGCAGGCCTCTGACTTCCTGAGTCCTGTGCAGAATTTCTGACCATCTCAATGGCCTGGTTGCAGCTGAATGGTGACTACCTGCTGAGACCTGTCTCCCATCACCTGCACCCTCCCTCTGACCCCAATCCAGCCTGGCTCAGAGTCTGGACATCAGGGCTGTGAGGTGACAGGGAGACTATACAGTGGAGGTACAGCTCTTGTGTAACTCCTGGAAGCTATGCTGTGATGGAGGGTGGGGCCTGAGCACTGGGCCCCCAGACTCACTGGTGTGAAGTTAGAACCTCTAGAATGCCAGTCTCTGTTCCTGCTCACAAGTCTAGGCCCTGACCTGTGAACCTGGAACAGACTCTGACCTTCAGAACGCCCAGCAGGATGGGCAAGGAGAGGTCCAGACCGAGTACCCTTCCTTCCCTCCTTTTTGGACCACCTGTACTCCCTCTGTATCCAGGCTCAGAGGCAGGGTCTGCGGTCACTCACTTTGCCTTGTCACTGAAGGAGATGAGGGAGGTCCCGGGCTGACCATTCAGGACCTTCTGGGAGCCTGTATATAAGACGTCGATGCCTGGGAAGAGGGAAGGGTGTGTTTATGATGGGCTGAGCACCACCACTGCCCAAGCAGTGTCATCCCAACAGATGTCTACCCAGCCCAGGCCCCATTCTGAATCTGGGGGGCTAAGAGTGCTGATAGGTAGAGAGGTGGGGAGGGAGTCCTGGGTCCAGATTTCCACTCTGCTCTCTGCCCTAACCCCAGGCCCACACCTTTCAGCACAGCTTTTCTTCCCTCTGTGAAGGAGGAGCAGCCCAGCCTGTGGGCAACCCCTGGCACTATGGCCCATTCCCCAAGCCTGATAGAAAGGCTGTCCCCATCCTCCCACCAGCTCCTGCGGCAGCCTGAGAGCCTCCCAAATGCCCCTGGAGGAGCTGTCTCCTGTCTGTACCCCGTCCTCCATCTGAGAGCCCGGCAGAAACACCAGGCTGTGGATTCACTCATGGAGCCTGTCCTGCCTGGTGCTGTGTGTGCATGTGCTGTGTCCCCAAGGGATCATGTGTTGGGAGCTTGGCCCTCAGTGTGGTGTGGGGGGAGGTAGTGGGACCCTTAAGAAATGGGGCCTAATGTGAAGCGATGTGGTCACTGGGTACTGTCCTCAGAAGGAATTGATCCTGGCCGGTTCTCACAAGAGCACTGGCCTCTCCCTGGTCTCCGGCTCCCCAAACTGCCATGATACCATCCACCAAGAGGTGATGCAGCTGGGGAACTTTGCCAGAGATCACACTGTGCCTCCCAAACTGCAAACTAAATCGATCTCTTTTCCTTAGGTATTCCATTATAGTAATGGAAACTGAACTAAATCCACCCAGCGAGGAGCTGGCATTGCCCAAGCCTATGGAGACAGGGCCTTAAGCCCAGATAGAGGCTGGGAGTGACCTTTGGTCACTGTCAGCCAGAAACTTCCAGCAAGGACCTCTGTACTCTCAGGGCTCACCAGTGTGCGGGGTCTGACAGGGGCTGTGGGCCACACCTTACCTTGCTGGTCCATGTAGATGGGGACTCCACCCAGAGAAGCCACGGCGTCAATCAGGAGCAGGCACTGGTACCTGGAGGAGGCACAGGGCGTGTGGGCAGCTGAGTGGGGGAGTTCAGACCTCAGCCTGGATAGGGTTTCCATGGAGGGGCTTTAAAAGCCTTTGGAAGGCCAGCAAGGAAGCAGGAGGAGTGACTTCTGCCTCCCACACAGAGCCTCTGCACCCTGAATGCTGATGGGCTCTCCCACACCTGTGGCTCTCTCTCTCTGACTCAGCTCCTTGAAACCTGCAGGATTGAGCAGGTGTCAATACTGGGGCCTCAGTGAGTGTCACAACCTAGGCTGACCCACTGTAGGATCCCAGTGGTCAGTCTGGGCAGCTGGGACTTTGAGTGCCAAGAGCCTGTGTGCCCCGGTGACCTGGTAACACAAACGCTTGGGTCTCTCTGTACCCATAGCTGCTCAGCTCTGCTGCTGTCCGGAAGTGCAGAACTGGAAGAGGACAGAGTCCAGGGGCAGCAAGGAGAACACTCCCTTCCCACGCACCTGATTACCCTCTACCTGAGTGTCCCCCATATAAAAGACACAAGATACATCCACATCAGCGGGGGGAGGGGGTGGTTTGGAACTTCTGAAGTCAGATTATGTTTGTGGGCAGAGTCCATGTGACAGGCTCCTGGTGGGAGCCCCTCCTAGTTGTGGAGACTTTCCGTCCTGTCCTGTGGTCAGCTCTACAGACAACACTACTGGGTGACAAGGTGCCCTGTCACTGTTTCTTGGGAGGAGCCTCCTCTGAACCTCTACACTGGATGGGAGAGCTGTAGGAGGGAAATGGAGGGGCAGCTTTGGATCTGGGCATCTCTGGGTGAGGACAGAGCAGGCCCTGTTGTGCAGACAGCAGGTAGCAGTGCCCCTTGGCAGCCATGGAGCACCTGACCCTGCTCCAGTCCCTGGGATCTCTCGGAGAGGAGGAGCCCAGCCAGATTCAGCCAGAGCAAGAGGGGCCTGAGAAGGGCCTGATGCCCATGCTATGTGACAGAGGCAGGGTGGGAAGTGGGACTGGGGGATAGCTGGGCTACCCTGCCACCTTCTGCCACTAGCGCCACTGCAGCCAGGCTCTGTGCTTTACTCTGCCCCTAGCACTGTTGCCACCTGGGGCCAGACTCACCTGTGGCACAGCTCTCCAAAGCCATCGAGGGGCTGCATCACGCCGCTGGATGACTCCCCGTGGGTCAGGAACAGCAACACCGGCTTGTGCTGAGCCAGGCCCTGAGGGGCAGAGGTGACAGTTGTAAGCAGAGCTGACAGGGGCCTTTCTCTGGGCCAGTCAGTCCTGGGCAGCAGGAGCAGGATAGGCCTCAACTCTTCCCGTCTGTGTGTGCTGGAGGTTGGGGCAGGCAGCTGGGGGCTTGTCAGCTCTGGGCAGGGGTCTTTTTCAAGAAGAAGAATTTGGACAAGAAGGATTGGCTCCAGCCTCCTGCCCATCCTGTCGGGGCTGTTGCATAGTTCACTGTATCTCACAGTCTACAGGTCTGGACTGGCCCAAGGGTCAGAGATGGATCCTGTCTATCTAGCCCCCAGACCCAGCCTCCTACCTCCAACTGTGCTGGCCCTGCCCACATGACTGGGCTCCTGACTCAGTTTCTCTGCCAGACAGAACCAGGCTTCCCACCTGTTTCCAGGTATTGGGATGCCCCTCCTATGCCCAGTCCCCGGAAGAGCTGTGGGCCAAACGTAGGCTTCAGCCTCCCAGTTCTGACCTTACTCTGCTGGGCTGCCACCTCTGGCCCCCCAGTCCCAGAACCAGTGTACCAGTACCTCTTCCACCTCCTGAAGTGTGTAGTGGCATCCAGCCTCCTTAATCATCGAGTGTACACGGGCTCCTGTGGGCAGGGGCGGAGTGGACAGTGATCAGCCCCCACCTACTGCAAGAGCCAGTGTTGGGGCCAGTGGACCCTGGGAGGGCAGGACTGCCCCACTCTGGCACCCCCCCACAGAGGAAATGGAGCACAGTCAGTAAGGATTGCTCTTCACGAAGACTTATCGCCATCCTGGCCTCAGGGCATTGGAACTGAAGCTTCAGGGTGCCCTTCCTGAGGCCACCATTCCTGAGCTCTGCCATCTCAGGCATTCCTGGCTCTTTGCAGCCTCACCACAGACAACAAACAAGCATCTGTACAAGCCATGCTGAGCAATGCCTTCCCCGACTGTGGGCGGGCCCCTGAGGGGTGAGGCCACACCAAGTTTAAGGCCAGCTCACAGAAAGCCCATAATGTTTGTAAGAAGGTATGAATGAGTGCAAGAAGGCACAGCAGGCCTTGTCCCTCTGGTGCTGGTGGTACCAGGAATCAGGCAACCTCTGTCTAAGACCTGTGTTCTATGCACAGCTCGTTGACATAGTCCTGGCAGGGGGAGAACCAGGACCCATCCAAACCCCAGGGAAGAGCCCAGGCTGGGTTGCAAGGTGGCACAGGGTTAGAGACTTGCCTAGGTCACATCTTGGGCCTCTGAGCCCAGATGTCTAATGTCCACTCTGAGTTTTGGCCCACAACCAGAGTCCTGGCAGAGAGAGAGCCAGAGACCACCAAAGCTTCTGCCCAGCCCTAGTTTCCTTTGAAAAAGTATAAGGACTGACAGGGACTGGAGAGGGGTGGGGACCCTCCTGGGCTGTCCAGGTGTCCAATAGCCTGGCTACGTGGAACAGACAATGTTGGAGGTACCAAAAGGCCACAGTCTATTTCTCAGCTTGCCATACTCTCCTGCCTCAGAGAACCTCACTCTGGTGGAAGAACTGTCCCTACGTCCACATTTCGGGGATGCACACAGCTCCAGAAAGGAGGCTGTTTCTGAGATCTGGGGGAGGGGTAGCCTCTGAAACCCTGTCCTGTCACAGAGCAGAGTGATGCTTGGTGACAGAAGGGCTGTAAGAGCTCAGACAAGGGGCTTTCCAGAAGCAGCTGTCACAGACTCTGGGAGAACAGGGGGTTGGGACACCCACCCACTGTGCTGCCACCTCTCAGAGTCCAGGCCCCATGAGCAACCTGAAGCCTGCGTGGAGGAAAAAGCAGGCTGGTGAGAGATGGTTGCATGAAAGGCCACACAGAATGAGCACCTGCCCGGGATGGCACAGGCCAGTGCCTGGTAAGTAGAGAGAGCTGCCACCTTCTACCCAGAAGGCCTTGGGAGGATGGAGCAGGGCCACACCCCACCTGCCCTCTCCCTTACCTATCCGCTCCCCGATCTCTGCAGCTCGCTGTCCCCATATGCCATTGGACCCGACCAGGAAGGAGTCCCCCGGCTCCAGGAGGTTGAACAGGGCCGTCTCCAGGGCACAGTGTCCTGAGCCTGTGACGACCAACGTGAGGGGGTTCTGGGTCTGGAACACATACTGGATGCCTTGCTTGATCTCGTCCATGATCTGGATGGTAAGCACAGGGGTCAGACATGCTCCCCAGCTATCTCCCAAGTGGGGAGGAAGCTCAGCGCTGACCACCACCCTAAGTGGTGGCTGCAGCTGCTCACCGAGGCTCACCTGTAACATCTCCTCGTGCATGTGACCAATCATTTGCAGACCACCGGCCACCTGGACTCTCGGAGCCAAGTTGGAGGGGCCAGGCCCTAGCAGAAGCCTGTTGGGTACAGAGAGGGGCTTTCGCAGGGTCTCTGGGGGGTGTACCAGTAGCTGGTGGGAAGCCATGGTCCGTACCCAACCTGCCGCTCTGGGGCCCAGGGCCACACTGGCCTTGGCCAGTGCCCTGAACATTTCCCAGCTGGCCCTGCGCTGGACTCAGAAGCCAGGCCTAGCCGATGGGCCCCTCCCTGCCCTCAGGTTTTTTAAACCCTGATCAATGTTTGTCCAGCTATCTGGATGGACGGTTGGTGTGTTGAACCCTCAGCTGGGGGAAGGGAGCTTCTTGAGTCCAGTCAAAGAAAAACAGTGTGGAACTACCCACTTGATCTCTCCCACTCCCTTTGTCCCTCTCAACCTCAGGATACCCAGCCCTGCCTGCAGACCCTGCTGAGCCAGGGGTCTAAAATTGTTTCTTAAGGGGTCAGTGAGAAATACTTCTGGCTTGCAGCCATATAGCTGCAACCACTCAGCTCTGTGGGAGTCTGAGAGCAGCTAGTGGGGTAGCTGGATTCCAATAACACTTTATTCACACACACACACACACACACACACACACACACACACACACACACACGACACAGGCCGTGTGGGCCAGATTTGGCCCATGGACTGTAGTTTGCTGATCCTGGCTTAACTGATGGACAGGCTCAGTTTAGCAAATATACATGTGCTGTGCTGTGTGGAGACCCCACTCTCACACACAGTAAGTCACATTCACACAACACTATAAGTCACACTAGCATACATGCACTAATTCTCACACTCTTACCTAACTCATACACACTCACTCTCACATTATCTTCTATACACACATACTCACTTATACACAGACATTCAAACTCACACTTGCACACTCACGCACACACTCACATGCTCACGTACTCACCCACACTAGGCCTGACCTTTAAGGACTAGCATTTGCCATGCTCCCTTGTACCAGAGGCCCTCAAGTCTGGGTTTTACACCCATAGCCAATGCCAACTCTCTTGGGAGCAGCTTCTGCTTGCTGGGTCAGCAGGGACCTCTTTCGAGGGTCCCTAAAGAGAAGGAGCCCTATGCGGCTGAGGGGCCCAGAGGAGTTGCTTGTATCCCTGAAAGTCAGAAAAGCTGCATTTGCCCCCAACCTGAAAGACCCCTACCCCTGGACCCCAGCAAACGGGTGAGGGTGTGGATGGTGCTCTCTGAAGCCAGACTTGCCATGCTGTGCTCAGGGGCCCAGTTGCCACCTGACAGGGCTCCCTGCTCCCTGTTGGTAGATCTGATACCTCTTTGAGGGGTAGCTCTGGACTTTGTGACATACTCCCAGGTAGGCAGAGCAGGGTTGCCTTGTCAGGCACTGGGCTATGGGCCTCCAGGGTCAGAGTGTCCTCAGTTTACCCAAACCTGAGCCCCTGCCCAGCCCTGGCACTGACCCACCACAGTCCAGGTTATCCATTCCTCTACTCCAAGCTGATCTCAAACCATCACCATGCCCTGAGGCTGGGGTGATACACCCTCCTGGAACCTGTAAGCTGGGCCTTGGCTCCCCAAGGGAGAGCACAGCACAGCACACCTCGGCTCAGCTCCTGCCCTGTCCTCTCTGGGCTCCTCCAAGCCCAAATACCACCGCGTTCCTGGACACTTATCCTTCACCAGCTCCTTGGGGCTCTGTTGATGTGCTCCCCTCAGGTACACCCCCTGCACCCACCTAACAAACACACAGAGTTCCCTCTGCCAAAAACCCTTGTCCCTTTCTTTGCTCTGTCCCATCTCAGACTCTTGGGAGATGTCCTAACTGTTGAAGGTTCAGATGTCTTTGGATGCCCTTCATCCTGACAAGGACACTTCTCTGTGAGGGCATGTGTACCATCTGTTTGCCACTGGCCCTTCTTGGCAGGATCAACACCCTCCTCCCCTATGCAATCCTCTGTGCCCAGTGTGGCACATGGGAGGCACAGAAAGTAGGGGTCCGCCTGAGGGTGGGTGCATCTCACCGAGAGCTAGGGAGGAGCACATCACTCAGGGTGGAGGGCAGGTTCACCTGGGCTGACAACAGCCAGGAGCTGAGCTGTTGCAACCAGTGAGGGCGTCACCTCAGGCCCCAAGCTGATTGGGAGGTCAACACTGCCAACAGCAAATGTCAGGGCAGGTAATGACCTCTGTCTCCCAGGAGATAGAGGCCACCTGGGTCACCTGAGCCAGGCAGTTCCAGCCTCCAAGTCAAGGTAGAAGATGCATCCTGTAGCCAACTAGTCAAGCAGGAACTGAGAACATCCAGGAGATGTGCCTGGGCCAGCAGCTGTCAGATGAGGGTGGGTGTCAGGTCCAGATCAGGATCTGGGCAGCAGGGTGGCCCCCCAGGGGCCTTAGTTCTCCAGACAGATTCACTCCCTGCTACTCCATGCCATGACTTGTTTCCTTTTTAAATTTAACCTCTGGTTTTATGGTGATCGATAAGAAATGATGAAGACGGTCACTCTGGCCCGTGGATTTGGAGCTTTTCTTGTTACGGCAGATTGTTGTACCACTCCGGGGTACTCTGTGCAGAGGAGGATGTCGTCTGCTCTAACACAAGGGCCCTCACTTCTCCTGCCAGCTGCTTGTCCCATTGACATTTCCAATAGGCACCTTTAAGATCTAGGGTAAACCCTCCTGTCTTGACATCCAGGCCAGAGGTGGTCACCAGCAGCCAATGAGTTCACTGTCCCCCGATAGCCAGCAAGTCCCAGTGAAAGGGGGGATTTGCTCAAACCCACAGCCTCAGCTGGAGGGGCAGGACTCCTTCGGGCTGCTAGACCAGCTGTGTGACGTGCAGCTTTGCCTCAGCGGCATCCAGATCCCAGGTGCCCCCTGCAGATCAGGATCTGCAGAGCAGAAGGTGGTCTCTGCCTGGTGAGGATCATGAAGAACCAGATGCCCTGAGCAGCTCCTGACCAGACACCCTGGTCCCCGGTGCTCGTTTTATGTGAGGTGAGGGATGTCACAGGCCAACTTCATAACCCTGTTCATTAAACCACCGTGCCCTTCTTCAGCCTCGCTGGTTAAACTTTCCTCTTCTGTGCCTGGCACCCAGGACACAAGGTACTGAAGTGTGAATGCCCACGTCCAGTATGGGAGAGCCAGCCAGTGTAAGGACAGGAGTCCAGGCACAAGGGAGCAGGACTGGACACCTGGGCCTCTTCTCTACAAAGGGCAGTCAAGTCCTGACTCAGGAGTCTCAGGGAGCATGTCAGGGCCCGAGGGATGCTGACCTGCACGCCACAGCACATAACAGAGAAATTCTGAGGCTGCTCTTCTCCAGCACTTCCTGTAGGCCAGGCACTGAGCAGACTGCAGAAAACAGGGCCCAAACTTGCGATCTTTACATTTGCAATGAATGACAAATTGGGCACATTGTATGCGTCCATAGGAACAAAGCAGCTGTGACAATAGTGAGCACACTGTGTTGGGATTCTAAGGGCCTCTTGGGGCCCTGTCCCTTTACCTGTTCAGATGCTGTGTCACTGTGGAATGTCACAGTGTGGTTAGCTGGAGAGGCTGCTGGGCTGTACCAAATGTCCTGTGCTGTGGCTCCTTGGTCAGACCATGCACACAACTCTTTCTGGCTCCTGCACCTGTACCCGTGGCAGCAGGGACATCACCCTGGGTGAGTTTATCAAGGTGTAAAGAGATGCGTGGAAGAACTTTCATAAGTTCATGTCCCTGACATTTGAAGTTAAACATGGCTTGTAGCACAGCAGGACCTCGGTCAAGGATGGACCAGGGTTGCTCCCCCCCCATATCCCAAAACCAAGTCCACTGCTATTTGCATTTTCTCAATAGGTGACACATGTGACTTTAACAAACATTGAGCAAACAAACCCAGGTTTTCTGTGAATAGGTTCTATTTAATATCAACTTAAAATTCAACTTGAGAATCATCAAAACCTAAACTACGAGATTTTCTGGGAAATTAATGAAACTCAGGCTACCTAGGGGGCATTCCTGAGTCACCAAGGCACTGACTTTTAACAAACCCTGACCTTTTCCCTGAAAAAAGGTGAAAGATTACCATGAAGTGATTGTGTCCTCTGGAGCTCTTCCTAGGACTGCCACCTGGACTTGTGACTTCCCCTGAGAGGCAGAGGCCTGGAAACCCCTTCTTCCCTCCCCTCAGAGGGTCTGACTTTTAAACCCCAGTGAGGGAATGACCTTGGGGTGTGCATAGCCATTGCCCAGCTGGTCCTCACACCCTTGCCTGAGGCCTTACAGCTGCACAGGTTGCCCAGATCTGGACTTTTTCAGCACCCTCTGGCCCTGCCATTGCCTCCTTACACAGGTCCTGACACACCTGAACCCCAGGTTGCCCTCTCACCCACACCTGTGTCTCCAAGGCATTGCACTGGGTGGTGCTCTGTCTGCCCAGGCCTGGGAAGAAAAGGGACATTTTAAGTCCTCTGGCAAATCTGGGTTCAGAACAATGACCCAAGTCTCCCACCCAGGTCCTGTCCCCCTATTGTGCTGCCCACTCTTTTCTTTCCCCCGCCAGTCCAAGGTGTCCCTTCCTGGACAAGGGGTGAGTCTTCTCTTGGAGTCTAGTCACAGCCCCCAAACTCTGGAAGACTCAGGAGCTGGGACATCAAGGATACTCCAGGTGGCTTCTGGTGCTTTTCAACATGGTCCTACCTGGCTGAGGTAAGTCTTCATGGGTGTGGCACAGCCCTCCTACTGTCCACTCTGAATTCCTAGAATAGAGGATCCTTGGCCTTCTCTTTGGGACCCTCCAGAGCTCCCACCCCAGGGGCTATGAACAGAGCCTCCGTGTGGGGCTGGGGGGGGCGGGTCTGGCCATTTCTTGGAGGTGGCCATGTGGGTTAGGGTACATAGGCTCATTTCAGCCCTGTAGTCTGGGAAGCTGCTTGTCTCACTCGGACCCAGGGTCCTCATTTATAAAACAGAGGTGACTGAGGAGGAGACTATAGGTAACAAATCTTCTGGGTCACTGGGTCTTGTCTCATCCCCCTGGACCCTTTGTAAGCCATCCTCATGCAGGACTGCCCATTACTCTCTTCTCAGAAGTGACATAGACTCCAACCTGGAAGATAGAATTGCCAGTGAGGAAGTTACGAGGCAGGTAGCAAGCAGATTTGCCATCTGTGTCCTCCTGTGCTTGC